AAATTGCAGATAGAGGGTATTAATGAATTCAAGCCCTCGATATTTCACATTTTCATATTTGTAAGTTATTAGAAGCAGGGATGCCAACTTGTCTCAAAGCGTGCCATTTGTCCCTATTTTACTTCAAATGGCACTTAATTTTTCAATTTGGCACAAAGTGCCAAAATGCCACTTTTGTAAAAAAAAATACATTTCAATAAATTTTTGCGAAATCCTTTGCGTGCACTTCTTTTTCTCAACTAAAATTTTCTAATTTATAAAGGCTATTCAACTGGTTTATCTTATTTTATCATTGCACTTTTGTTTGGGAAATGTAGCTTTATTTTATTGCGAAATGTGAATGATTAAAAGGAATGACACCTTTTTTGGCACTTTTATTTTTCTATTTGGCCCATTTTGGCACTTTTTTATCCTCAATATGGCACCTCATAACTAAGGATAGCTGCCAGCCCTAATTGGAAGATTTCTGCTGTGTTTTGGGGCAACAACTTGTCTGCAGTAAAAAAGCATATAATTTGTGTTTCAAAAGTGTGTGACAACCAATCAATTAACTTATATGATCTCGATTCCGATATTAAATAATCAATAATTGTTTATACCCGCATTTTGGCACATTGGCTCGTTGAATGTGCCATCTAATAAATAGTGTCGTCACTCTCCTTAGCTGGTTTTAAATGATGTCACAAATTGCTGGCGGAGACATGAATACAGTGTAAGAAAATTCTTTTTCTATAATTCTTTCCTTATAGAAAAGTTGGTTTCTTTTCTACCTTCGACATTCCGAATTCGTTCAAAATATGCTAATTTAAAACACAGAATTCTTTCAGTGTTCCACCGGAGATTTTGGACAAGGACTGTTTCTTCAATTTAATAGTGTTGGATTTATTTTTGTGGAAACGAAACATGTTTTGCAAGTTATGGATCATTTCTACACTCTTTCTTCAAATATTTCTCGTATTCCAGCTGTGCGCAGGCGTTTACTTTTTCGCATCGTGTTTTTACATATTCGTAATTTAAAATTTTTTTTTAATAGAATCAATTGGTGGTACTTCATGATTGTGTGTGGATTAATATCACAACAATGAGGATTTGGCAAAAGCCTTTTCCATCTATTAAAAAAGAACACTTACGGGGCAATGTTTATTGTAAGAACAAAATTTTTTTCTATGAATCGACATACTTTAAGCATTGTTGACGCTGCTTTTTTTGTGAAGTGGTATTATGAAAGACTCCTTCCAGGCTGACGAAAAAACGCCATGTTTAAGTGACAAATTGAATAGAGTTGTTAAAGGCTCGCAGATGTTCTCAGCGCAGTGATCAGGTCCATGCGTAAATGACGCTTTTAAGGTTTTTAAATACTTAGGGTACTCACAGTTTACTTCTAAAGTTAAAAGGTGGCAACTTTAACAAGATAACACACTCGAACTGTGAGCAACCCTTATGTTTAAATAAAGTATTAAGTTGATCAACAATACCACGCATTGCTAGACCGTTTGCCTTTCACGCGTTTGTGTTTAGAGAGCATCAACAAACCACATACATATTTCTCTCTATTCTCTCTTCTCTTTTTTATACTCAGCTAGCACAGCGCAAAAATAAAAAAAAAAATAACCTTTGCCAGCTCCAGGCAGGCGCAAAGAGAAACTTATGTACAAGCAGCGCTGCGCCCAAAGCGAAATTCATGTATGTATGTACAAGCAGCGATAGATGCCAGTTTAACACAGAACATAAACATGAGACAAAGTCTAGTAATTTTGCCCAAAAGTGTTATCTCTAATTAGTATGGGAACCAACAACAAACAAAGTTACCACATGGTAAAATGTTTTAAAGTTACCAGGTGGCAAAATTAACACAGTAGATAATATAGAACTGTGAGTACCCTAACTGTAAAACTTCATCGGAAGATATTACTTGAATATAAGCAGAGTTGATTGGACAAAGCTCGTACGGATAGTCTCCACTTATAGGGAAGTCTACAGAATAATTGGACCTAAAGAACCGAGCAAACATGTTGGCAATGAGTTGGCTGTCGCTAGATACAGTGTTGCGATAATGCATAGCGGAAGGAAAACCATGTGCCTTACGCTTTGAATTTACGAAACCATAAAATGATTTAGGATTGTTAATTAAATTCTTCTTAATTTTACATAAATATGAATTATAACATTTCTTGTTTAATGCAAAGTAGCTATGCCGCAAAACTGAGTACCTTAGGTAATCACTGTGTAAGCCCGTTCTTTTATACAGTTTAAAAGAGTGCGACTTTTTATTTTTCAATTTTTTAAGCTCTTTAGTGAACCATAATTGTATTGGTTCTTCGTGTGTTTACACATTGAGTTCCATTTCTTAACTTATGTATTGAATACGTAAAATTACAACAATGTAACCCTAATATAACTAATAACTAATGCAACCATGTACAATTACGCAAAGCGAACACCGCAAGCGAAAGCCCCCTCATCAGATGCTTCCATTGTCCATGCTTCCGCGCCATACACCAGCACAGGCATGATGAGTGACTTATAGAGTGTGATCTTTGTACGACGAGAGAGGACTTTACTTCTCAATTGCCTACTCAGCCCAAAGTAGCACTTGTTGGCAAGAGTGATTCTCCGTTGGATTTCAAGGCTGACATTATTATTGGTGTTAATGCTGGTTCCCAAATAAACGAAGTCGTCTACTTTTTCAAACTTGTAACTGTCAACAGGAGATACTTCGTTTTGTCCTCGTTCACCACCAGACCTATTCGCTTTGCTTCTCTATCCAATCCCGAGAAGGCAGAACAGACGTAGCCCTTGTTTTTACCGATAATATCGATGTCGTCGGCATACGCCAGCAATTGAACGCTCTTAGAAAGTATTGTGCCTGAGCGGTTCAGTTCTGCGGCTCTTATTATCTTCTCCAACATAAGATTGTCTGAAACCTCGTTTGGTATCAAACGGCTCGGAGAGGTCCTTCCCTATTCTGACGGAGCTGGTGGTATTGCTCAACGTCATTTTACACAGCCGTATTAGTTTCGCGGGGATACCAAATTCAGACATCGCGGCATAAAGGCAACTTCTCTTCGTGCTGTCGAAAGCGGCTTTGAAATCGACAAATAGATGGTGTGTGTCGATCCTATTCTCGCGGGTCTTTTCCAAGATTTGGCGTATTGTGAATACCTGATCTATGGTGGATTTTCCAGGCCTAAAGCCACACTGATAAGGTCCAATCAGCTCGTTGACGGTGGGCTTCAGTCTTTCGCACAATACGCTCGATAAGACCTTGTAACCTATGCTTAGAAGGCTAATTCCGCGGTAGTTGGCGCGTATGGCGGGGTCGCCTTTCTTGTGGATTGGGCAGAGCACACTTAAATTCCAGTCGTCGGGCATGCGTTCATCTGACCATATTCTGCTTACGAGCTG